CTTCCTTGCTTCCTTGCTTCCTTGCTTCCTTGCTTCCTTGCTTCCTTGCTTCAACTTTAATCTACGTATAATCCTTTACTTTATTACCCCCCTTCAGCTACAGAAAATATAAGTCTGCTATCTTTCCTCGTGTCATGGAACTCACCAAGCGCCAGCAAAAATCAGTTGCGTCCATCACACCGCATAATGCCGATTGTAAACCACACTCAGTGTGGGTGTCAATGCATCACCAAACCATCAGATTGCGACCCTTCAACGCAAGTGTTCTCACAAGACAAATGTAGATGTGAATGCAAAGCTAGGTCAAGACCCTGTCCCGCCTACCATCGCTGGGACCGCGTCAGATGTAAGTGTGTGTGTCATSCTCCTAGTTATATAATTTGTCCCAGGAGATTTCATTGGAGTCCAGAAGAGTGCAAGTGCGTGTGTAAGGCAACTGCGTGCAAAGATACTAATAAAGTAAGGAAGCAGAGAAACTGTCGATGCTACTGTCCTAAATTACCGATCTGTCCTCTAGGATTCAGGAAGGATCGCAAAACCTGCAAGTGTGTGAACAATGTTTAACGACTTGCTAATCGTCTGGCTAGTGGAACAAGATGAACTGTTAGAAATATGTGAAATTGTATGAACCATAGTTTCACTGTCAGTGACCGAGTTTCTTGTTCGTCGTTCGGAGGTTAGTCGTGAGCGCGGGATATTTTCGAATATTATTCGATCGGGCACCGGATCAGGGTCAAACCGACATTGAAACAAATAGTTGTCATTTTGCACATGAATCGAACACCGATACTCGCTCGGCAACACAAAGAAATGGTATCGTAGGTAGCAGATAGGTGTACAAATTCTTATTATGTAGGGTAGAGTGAGGACTATTGAGCCCCTGCTTGATAGTCAATGCATTAGTAAGGTCCAGATGACGCAACGTTACAACAACGTTAAGAAATCGTGATTACGATTAAGTAGATTTAGTAATTTAGTATGACTGCTGAGGGAGATCGTAGTCTTCTTCGTAGTCGCCATTGGTGTCGTTTCTAGTTCCTCCCTGGCGCCCCGCCCCACAAATGAGAAGAGCTCGAGGGGATCTGGGACCGATACTATTGACGGCTGTGAAGAAGACTAGAGAGACTAAGGCGTATTCCTTTTGTTGCGCAAGGCCAGTAATCAGAGGTAACAAGAAAAGACCAGTCGCAGTAACATTGTTTTGTTGCTATTCGTGGTCGGTAACAAAGGAAAAACCGCCAACCATCATAACATACCTAAGCTTAGGTGCTCTTAAGTTCTTTAATGAAGGTACTAGCTGCGCATAAGTATTTCGTTCCTCTAATGCTTGCGTGACCAATGCGTTACCAGGTTTACGTAGCGCACTTCTTTTTCCAGTTAAAATATTTCCCTAATCCTAAGACCTTTTTTCACGCGATTAACTCCAGCTTATCTTATCAGGAGCCCATTATGGCGTGCGTATATACACATCTAAATCGCTAATCACGAGTAATACATTGATATAGACGCCTCTAGTAATGGGACTCCTGATTTTATTCGTTTCAGAACAAACTCTCAGACTGACTGACATTCGCGCACTGATCATGACGTCACATCACCATCTTCCAAACATGGTCAAAAGAAGTGACAAAACACGATGACAAACTGCTTTGGATTTTTCCAATAGATGTTGAAACGAAAGCCTTTAACTTAGAAGTATGACCTCTTTTCATCTATACCTTAATTTTAGACGTAAAATAATACTTTTATACTTTATTAAATGTTATTAGTACATACTTATCATAAGTTAACGTGTAATGGAGTTAATCGCTCTATCTATAATGTTTCATAAGTATTCTATATTATGATAGACTTTCACGGACCGGTCATTAACTAATTAATCGATCCCCTTCCCTGCTCAAAGAAAAGTTGCTGCCCTCTTAATATATATTTTATACAAAAAATAATAACCCCCCACTCTAAGTGTTTTAAACAAATGTTTGTGGCCCTCCACCTCTAATTAATAACCGACCCCTGAGTCTATTCTTTATCTCAGTTAAATTGTACTCGCATTAGAGCTTTTAAGTGTGACGTAATTCAAACGAAAAACGACTTCCGGGTTCAAATTCATAATTACTTCATTCTATAGACATTTTTCTGTGTTTTTTCTTCAAAGCAGGATCTTCTGTTCATGCATATGAATGTTCAAGGTAGAGATTAATCCTGGGAATAAGTTGTGGCAAGATTTTCGCAAATTAACCCCCTACCTCGCGCGATTGGACCCGGATATACGTCACAACTTAAAAGCCCTATTCCTTACTTAGTCATACCAGCCTAGATCTCGATAAAGTATGATTTATAAAACAGTTTGTTCATTTTGTTTATCGGTTGCATTTAAAACTAAAAGAACTCAGAGCAAATTAAATATAACAGACTAACTATTATCATTTAAAATATTTTATTAGTATAATATTTTTATCACAAGAAATATATAAATAAAATTTATTTTTTTCAATAACATCTTAAAAAAATAAGGCGTAATGTAGTTATCCGGTTGAAGTAAAAATAGTTCCGACAGTTCTGAATTCAGTGCGTGGATTTTAATACTCGTACAATATGCACCAAATTACACGAAAGAGAAATGGGATGAGAAAGGAAAGTGGGAATGGAATTGTCTTTTGGCCGCAGCTCAGTTTAGGGGCTACATCTGTTTAATCTTGTACTGTTTGCTCGTTTTCTGTGGTCTTATTCTTGCAAATCAAGTCGCAGAAGTAAGATCTTATTAAGACTTGCGCCTTTTACTGTACACACATCCAGATGAATATCCTCCACTGCAGCCAATCCAATCATCCTTGCAAACAATCTATCTGATGCCATACTCTTCCTCGATCTGATCAATCAGACCCAGCTCCTTGTCATCATAAACAAGAGGAGTGACTGTTTTTTTGTCCACTTGTTCAAGTCTGCCATTCAGGTCTTTAGCAGGTGCTTCAGCATTGACTGAAACATCCACGAATCGTACGCATTTCTTGGCGGCACCCGTGGACTTGTCCTTTGCGCAATGCACAGCTGCTGCGTTCACTTGTTGCTTTTCTCCGGCTTCGCGCTTCGGGACCTTGTCATTACTGGCCTGACCTCTGCGTGTGGTTGATGGACCTCTTCGGGTCTTGGGGCGTGGTGCATCACACTTGTATGATACTTTTGTATCTTGGTTGCTGCTGGTCGTTGCATRATGGTCATTAACGCGGATGCAGTTGATCTTGTCCAATTCTTGGATAAGCTGATCAGCATCGCATACTTTATCAACATGGTTTGTCATCTTGTCATCGTCGTCCAAAAGAAATGACGATGAACCCAAAATGTCTTCCAATGAAGTTTCGCTTCGTGGCCAAGGAGTGGCCGACCTGGTTTCCAAAGCTGCCTCACTGGAAACTGGTTTTTTCAAGCCCTCGCAAGTTTCTTCGCCAACATCTGACTTGCTGGTACAACTCTTTCTGTTCTTTCTCCCGAAGACTAAAGACAAGTGACTCTTGCTTTTGGAAGGAGATTTAGCCACTGTTTTCACTTCCGGTGAAACTTTGTTTTTCTTAAGCTGAGAAAAACAATTTCCCATTTTATTTTCGCTTTTTTTCACGCAAATTTTGTATTCTTTTTCTGGAGCAAAACTTGAGACGTCAAGCAAAGTTTACTACAAAAGTAGAACTAATTTGAAACGTCATAATGATATTGATGACGTAAGTGACGTCATTGTCGCTAGAAACCTTATTTGGAAGTCTTCACCACAGGAAACCCAAAATGTCTTACCTCATCCGATCCGAGAGCGCAGGAAAAAAAATGTTTGCGAAATAAGAATAACAATAAAAAAATGTAGGTATTATTAAGAGAAAAAGGGAAAAGCAAATATCTACAAAAAGACTAAAAGTGTTATTGATAAAAAGCAAAAGGGCAGCTGCGAGCGCGTTTTTGGTAAAACTGGGCATGAGTTTCGGCGCGACAAGGAACATACGAGGGAGGGGAGGGTAACTTATCCTCCTCTGACAATTTCCATCAAAAGAGCTCGTATTATATATTAAACGAAAAACCCTTAAAAACTAAGAAAGAACTATAGTTCTTGATCTATTTTAGGCTTAAATGAGGTAAAATAGTATCTGAAAATTGAATGAATAGTAAAAGCTGTCTTGCCCTACCCCTCCCTAGCTACTTCTTCACAGTTGACGGGTTTCCCAATATAGAAGTGAATGTAAATGTCAATACGTTTGTCTTTTGTATTGTTTGCCCTGAACCTTAGCATTTTCCACCTCGATGATCAGTGTCCCTGCAATCATAGCTTTCTTGGCTGTGATTCTCTGCTTTCTCATACGTATTTTGAACCTAACCGATCGAGAGCTAATGCCAGAAACCTTTGACTCCGGGAGCGACTTTGTAAAGGCAATCAAGGCTTCTTGTCCATTCTTGAAGGAGAAGTAAGTAAAAAATCTGTACTTATAACCAATATTTGATCACTAGTGGTAAAACAAGACTCCTCGTTATATTTATGAATCGAATCAGTTAGTGTTGGCTATTTATTATTTAGCTTAGAAATGACTGGTTTGTAATGTTCATTTTAAATTCTGTTCTGACAAAGAGAAGGCTGGGAAACCTCTGTTTATATGGGCTAAATAACATCAATCTTAGTAATAATCTTCACACAATATTGAGAGACCAAAATAAAGGCTGCCATTAATGCAGCCAAGGGCAATTATAACACTGYTTTTCTTAGCTTGGTATTTTTTATTCAGCGAGGCTGTGTAATAAATCGGTAAATGATTGCATGCTTAATTTTGTACTTTGAACCTTCGAGAATTCAGTAAATTCTATATTTATTTAATTTTCAACCCGAAATAATCTGCTTTTGCCGCTTAAAACCTATGTTATTGAAGAGAAAAAGGCTTTGAAATGTGTTCTTCTAGAGAGTTCTGCATAATTAATGGTATTACTAGTGATAGACGTTGTTTTTGTTTTCTATTAACGATGGTCTTGTGTTAAATTAATTAAGCTTGTTTTTTTGGCTGTGCAGTTCCAAACATCCTCGATTTTTTTATTCTATTAACGACTAAGCTAACTATAAAGTCCTTCGGTAGATAAACTCCGATATATCCTTTCAATGCATAAATTAATGAAATTGGTTTCACCAAATATTATGTATTATCCTGCATTTCATTTTCATTTCACTTGTCTCATTTTTGAATGCAAAATTTTTTTAATTTTTACATTCATAGACATATTTTTTTGTGCTTTATCATTCTTGTCATCCTTGTTTTTCTCTTAATATCGTTTAAACAAATCATTCTTTTTGCAAATAGTTATTAATATTAAATGAAAAGATTTATAAAAGACAGAAACGTGTGCTGAATATTCAATAATTTTGATATCTTTACATATGGTAGCTTAATAAATGACTGCATAATTAATATTCTTAATGCCAAACAGCTGGTTTCAAGCAGAGACAAAATATGAGTCTTAATGGCTTTGAGTCAAAAATAAATGATGGGTTTCCAAAATTATGAAGATTTCCTAGAAGAAAGATGAGTAACCTGAGTATAAGTTTGAATATATCTTCAGGCATAAGATTTAAATTCAGAATTAATCTTTCCCATGTTAATCAAGAGAAAAAACTATTAAATATTTTGGGAATGAAATTGAAATAAAAAACTACAGTTTGATATTTTAGAGTGCAAGCCATATTTCCATGAAATAGCGCAAAAACTAAATAGCACTAAACTCATCTGTTTCTTTTGTTTAAATTAGAGTGCAAACAGTTAATCCATGAAATGAGGAATGGCTGACCTGGTGCTAATTAAACACTAGAAAACAATTCAATTTGCATGAAATTGTGCTATTTACATGTAGTATATACTAAATTTGCACGGTTATATTGTTTGCACTCTAGTCGTTTCATGTTTAATAAGCTAGTTCTATTTCATGGATATGATATATGGTTTGCACTCTACCCACATCCTATATTTAATACAGTACTTTTATTTTATTTATGATTTAGTTTTATATTAATTGTTCAAATTTGGATTGCACATTGCTCAAATTGCTGTTTCTTTTCTTTCACTTTACTTTCACCCCTCTATAAAATAAAATAGCAGCTGCTTCCCATACTTTAAGTGCTTCTTCACAGTATCTTGCCCTGACAACTCAAGTAGGATCTTGTGATATAATCAATAATACCTCCCACTAGATCACTCATGTTAAGATGAGCTATTTCCTCCCAGACAAACTTAACTATTGTTTCTTTATTTTATGATAGCATACTTTCATTATATCAAGGTTTTTTAGTCCTCTTCACTCCACCGGGGACATTCATTCAGCAGGGCCCGATTGTAAGAAGGGTGAATAGCGCTATCTGGCATATAAATCCTTATCCAGTGGATAAGTTGATGTTGTTATCCAATAAATTTATCCACTGGATAAGATTTATCCATCGGATAGTGCTATCCAGGCTTTGTAGGACCGGGCCCTGGGTGGCAAAATTAAATTACTCTGTTGCCTCACCTGCAAGTGGGGTGAAAAAGAATGAATTTGTTTTCCATAATCAGGGAAGTTTTCTGGGTGCAAGGAATTAGCCCACAGCCCAACCCCCAACCTGGAGGGCCAAGGGATCACTCTTCATCTGGTCTCTATCCTTTGACCTATTCGGCATGGTGTAAGAAATTTATATGGGTATCTTATTTGCTTCTCAGGTATGTTCCTCCAGTATGGGCAAGAAGTGGACACATGCAGACATTGTTTGCTAGTCAGGTTGGCAGAGTAAATGCACCAACTTTATTAGGCAAGCACCATACGGTTAAGATGAAAGATGGAGCCACTATGACCTTTGATGTTTATGAACCAGAAATGACTAAGAGAGAAGAGGTATGGATTTAATCTTACTGTAGAAATATACATTCAAGAATTAATCCATTCATCTGGATCTGCCCGTCCATGTAGTTCATCTAACTATCCATTTATCCATGTATTCATATGTTCAGAATTCAATACATCTACATCCATCCAAATACTTTTTTCCATCTGTCAGTCCCTCTACCTATAGATCCAACCAACCATCCATTTCAACTGCCTGTCTGTGCAACCATCCATTCATCAGCCTAGTCATCCATCCATGTGTCCATCCGTCATTCCATTCATCCATCCATCCATCCATCTATGCATCCATCCCTCTGTCCCTCCCTCCATCCATCCATCCATCCATCCATCCATCCATCCATCCATTTATTATCAATTTATTTGTTGATTAATTTCAAGATTTGATCTTTTTTCTTCAGAAATTAAATACCATTATCATAGTTCCTGGAATAGGGAATTGTAGTGACACCAAGTATGTACGCACCTTTGCTGGTTATGCCTTAAATCATAATTTCCGAGTGGCTGTTCTGGATCATCTTGGAGCCAGAGAGAACATTAGGCTGACTTCTCCAAGAATATTTACATACGGTACATATTGAAACTGCTTTTTTATAAAAATATTAAGGTGGATGAGCTTGTATACTGTATAATTAATACTTAAATACTAGGACCTTGGGAAAACTGTGTGTTTTGTTGTCCTTTGACTGTGATGTTAGATGTAGAGCTCTACAGTACTGCAGTAGTTCATGCCTGCCAGCTGGGTCTTGGGTTATTAAGAAATACTCAACTGAACTGCATACATGTATATATGATTATGTGAGTTTACCAGTACTGTAGTTTGTTTGAGTTTGCTCTCTCCCTTGCTTGCCAAAAGGATCAACATTGGCTACTCATAATTACACAACATTTTGACCATGTTGAAATAAAGAAGAGGACAAACCATCAAAAAGTTATCAAAAAGTTTGTTTGTTTGTTCCTTCGTTTGTTCGTTCCTTCGTCGTTCCTTCATCGTTCCTTCGTTCGTTCCTTTGTTTGTTCATTTGTTTGTTTGTTCGTTCATTTGTTAGTTCCTTTGTTCATTCATTGGTTGGTTGGTTCCTTGGTTGGTTGGTTCGTACATTCGGGGTTTTTTGTTGTTGTAGGTTTGTTTGTTCATTCTTTTGTTTCTTCCTTCCTTCCTCCCTTCCTTTGTTCATTCATTCGTTCATTTGTTTGTTGGTTTGTTCATTCATTCACTCACTCACTCATCCATCCATCCGTCCGTCCGTCTGTCCGTCCTTCCGTCCGTCCGTTCATTCATTTATTCATTCATTTATTCATTTATTCATTCATTCATTCATTTATTCGTTGGTTCGTCTGCTCATTTGTTTATATTTTCTTAAAGTTCAAATTTTAAAATACATAATTTCACACCAGTTTGTTAATGATTTCTTACTCTAACTGAAACAGGAAGCACAGATGAGTTGAGAGTCCTGGTCAAGCAAGTCATAGCAAGGTACAACTGTCATCATCTAATTGGAGTTGGGTTTTCCATGGGAGCTAATGTTCTTCTCAAGTATCTTGGGGAGAAACCAGAAAGACAAAAGAACTTCACTTGTGCTATATCTGTTTGTCAAGGGTATGACATTATCAGGTAAGCACTTGTAGTATTGACTGATGGGCCCCTAGTTGTCACATGGTATACTTTGTGATACAGTCACCAAAATGTCTCTAGACATTGTTATCTGATTGCTGTACAGATGTATTAACTTTTGAGCAAATTATCAATTTAACTTCTTTATTTGGCTCCCTAAAGCAAAACCTTGTTATTTAATCCCGATTTAAAATGTCCTTTCTATTTTTTTTAGGAGAAAAAATAAACAAATCATATATTTGAATAACAATGTCTGAACATTTTGAAATTTTATTCCTAAGCTAGAAAAGAAGTATAGAATAGTTTATCATTTCTCAATAGCTGTAAGGGGAACTTTTCGGATGCCTGTCAGATGCTCTAACACTGAGCTACATTTTGGTGACAATGTTTTGGTAAACACAAAGCATACTATTACTTGGCCGCTAAAGGGCTAATTAACTTTCATGCCATGATTCTTCAGTTGAAGCATCGTTGAACTGTAAAGAAGTTAAATCAGCATTCTTTGTTAGTGTGCTGTCACTCTCTGCTATGTTCATGGGCTTAAGCCTCTGACTCACCATCAAGCTGAGGTCCTCATTGGTTCTCTCCAGACCTGTATTTTATGGATTTTCACTGGATTCTATGTTTCCTCGCACCACAAAAAGTGTCTTCTACATTAGATCTTTTTTTCCATCCACCTGCTTCCCACCATTCCATGCTCTTATCCCATGCATTGAGCTTTTTTTTCCCTCAAAATTTTCCAATAAATTATCATTTCTTCTTTTTCGTTTTTAACAGTGCATCACAATTATTCTGTGACTGGGAGGGTGCAAGAAGATTCTACAGCTTTGCCATGGCACAAAACATGAAGGCTCTAATACTTAGGAATGAGCACATTCTGTTCAGAGACCCTGAAATGTGCATGCAAAAGGCTCATGTCTGCAGTGCTACATCACTGAACGAACTAGATGAAGCATTCAACAGGTTAATGTTTGTTTTATGATCACCAGTACTTGATAATGTTTTGTTTTACAATCACCAGTTACTTGAAAATAATACTTTGTTTTTGCAAAACATTGATGCCTGAAAACTTCAAGGTCAAATTTATCAAAATGCTTGAATTTTCTTTTAAATTTTCTGAAGCTTGAGCAAATAACCTATCCTCTTCGGCTTTACTTAAGTGGAATTTAAAAACCAATATCAAAAATGGGCAACAAAGCAAAGCACCAACACTTAACAGTGATAGAAACCATTATAAAAACTTTTCTTAAAATCTGGGAAATAGTTATTTTTTTCTATTAAATTGTTTGCACCCACAATTTTTTTAATTTGAAGTGGAAAGCTAGCAGAAAACCCCATCAAGCCTTAACTTGGGCATAATGGTTTCCCATTTTAGACCACATTATATGGGTAGCATGGGTGGCGTAGTAGTTTACCGCTTGCATCTCACCCCTGTGGTCTGGACTTGAGCCTGGCCGGCTTGGAATGGATCATATGTGAGTCGAGTTTGTTGATGTAGTCTCTCGCTTGCTACAAGGGTTTTCTCTGGGTTCTCCGGCTTATATTGTAAATATGGAATGTAGTGGTAACATGTGTTGAGAGCCTCACGGAAGGGCCCCATACAGGAAATGATGGTTGTAAATTATGAGTTTTTTTATTCCCTCAAGAATAATTAGATTCTTTATTTCATTCATGTCTTTTCATGCGCAACTGTTAAACAAAGAAATGATACTCTAAGGAATGCCACATGCTTCTGAAATGGGAAAATATTTATGCACATTTATGCGAAATAAACTGACATTTGATAATGATTGTTTTATTGACTAGGAGAATGGCACACTTTGATGATATAAAATCATTTTATGAAGAAAACAGCAGCTGTAAATTCATGACTAATGTAAGTGGAAAATAATATAATTGCATGTTCCTCTACCTTTTAATCCTTTCACCACTTGTGGCCCCTTTAACTGCCACTAGAAAAATATACCCACAACACTTGTGCCCTATTGAGCGGCCACTAGAAAAATATACCCACAACACTTGTGGCCAATTGAGCAGCCACTAGGAAAATATATGCACAACACTTGTGGCCAATTTAGCAGCCACTAGAAAAATACACCACAACACTCATGTCCTCTTTTGCAGCCAAATCATTAGCATACGCGTTTTACTCCAAAACAAGCATATCCATATATTGGGGTCTAGAAATTGGTCATTACCTAGGGTAAGGTTTGAGTAACAAAATAACATTACTTCATTTATATCAAGATTAATTCTTCTTTATGATATTTCAGTTTTAAGCAAACATAAGTAATTTGGGTACCAAAAGTACCAAATTAGCTGGTGTATAGGGTACATTAAGAAAAAAACGAGTTGTGGTGAAAGGGTTAATGATAATAATTAATAACTTATTGATTTATATTGCGCATATTTTGATAAAAAATATCATATGTGCATTACAATTATAATATAAAATTAGTTTAAAATAATAATTTTCAAAAATTAAAACAGAAAGACTTTAATGCTTAGACTAACATTTTTCCCCTTCAGATTAAGATGCCTGTTCTGTTGCTTAATGCTCGTGATGATCCCATTATTCCTGAGCAATTATTTGCTTCTCCTTTAAAACATGTTGGTAAGTGTTTCCAGCTACATGTACATATAGTTTCTCTGGAAAACACCCATAGGACTACCACCTTCATTGGGATGGGAAAGTTGATGGATTGGGTATTGGGGAACGTAGGGACAAGGTACTGTATGAACAGTATGAGTATGTTCTGGTTCTACCTTTGTCTGCTTTTGATTTCTGTTATAAAAAGAAGTGTGGCCTTGAAACAGTACACATAGTGCACTCAACTCTCACCTCTGGGGTCTTACGTTCATTTCCTAGACCCGTCATCACTTGCAAGTAGAGTTTGTCAGGTCTCTGCCTGCATTCAAGGGTTTTATCTGGGTTCTCCAGTTTTCCTCACTCTGCAAAACCTAACGAGCTAAATTCCAATTTCATATACGAGTAAGCCATGCCCTGACTTTCATCAGCCAAGTGGTCGTTCTGGCAAAGTAAGATCTGTGAGTAAGCTGTGCCCTTACTTTCATTAGCTCAGAGGTTGTTTCAGGGTTCAATAAGTTGATCAATCTACAATTCCTTATTGATCTATCCATCCCATTCATTAATCCATCCATCTGTCCATCCATCCATCCCTCTCCTCCCTCCCCATCCATCTGTCCATCCATCCATCCCTCCCTCCCTCCATCCATCCATCCCTCCCTTCCTCCATCTCTTCCTCCATCCCTCCCTCCCTCCCTCCATACATCCATCTAGTATCCATCCATCCATTTCCATCCCTCCCTCCCTCCATACATCCACCCACCCTTCCATTGCTAATTCATTTGTTCTTCGTTCATTCTTTCTTTCGTTCCTTCCTTCCTTATTTCCTTTCTTCATCCTTTCGTTTATTCATCACCTTATTCTCTGACTGCACAAATCTCACAATATTTTTCAACTACTTTCTTCGATTGCAGAGGAGAATCCTCAAGCATTGTTTGTGTTGACGAAACATGGTGGTCACCTAGGGTACTACGAAGGAGGGCTGTTTGGAGTCTCCAAGATAACATGGATGGATAAGTCAATTTTACAGTATATTTTAGCTGCCATAAGTATTTCTACTATCCACAACTTCTCAAAGGCCTCAAAGAGCTGATGATCATTTTGTAGTTTATATAAAATAATAATTAATGAAGTGTTTTAAGCACTTAAGGTGGCTCCATATAGTTTTTGTACGCGCATGCGCCAGGTTGTGCACAAACATGCGCAGTACCAGAACTTTTATTTTGATGATGTCACGAAAAGTTGGTTGTATGCGTTATTTAAGAAAAAAAACTCAAAAGCTACTTGGTCAAATATCTTTAAATTCAAAGTGTTTTTTCTTCGTAGAATGATAAGTCAGCTGATGCAATATAGAAAATATTTTGACTACAGTAAACTTTTTATCTTGAAAAATCAAAATTTCTTTAATATCTTGGTTTCTGTAGTCACAATTTCAATAAAGCCCTGTCATATAATAGGTAACAAAACAAACTTTCGTATTACACAATCAAAAGATTTTCATTTTTTAATGGCAAAAAGGGCCGCRTTTTGTGGCTAACTTCTAAATTCTAAATTTTCACAAAAAATGATTCCTAAACACAGTCTTTAATATGGTCAGCATATCAGATATCAAGATATAGATCTGTATTTGCTATGAAATAATTTCTAGTTCTATTACTCTAAAGCCCGAAACTATATGAAGCCACCTTAAAGCACTGGTAAAAGTGGGGCTCTCTTGTAAAACAAGTATGTGTGGGTGTAGGTTACAGTATTGACAGTAATAATGCATCTTAAGGGTCAAGAGGTTACTGTAGACAGTAGAACCTACTCCTAATGGAATATTGTGTTGTCAAAGTAACCCCTAGCTCACAAGATCTGTTATGGCAACAACTTTGGTTGCCATAACAACATATCTAATTTCTTAAACTAGGACCTTTATTAGAGTGCAAACAATTAATCCGTGAAATGCTAATTGCTAATTAATAGTACAAAATAGTGCTAATTAAACAATAGAAAACAATGGACAATTTACATATAATTGTGCTATTTAGTATTACTAAATTAAGTTTCACGGTCATATTGTTTGCACTCTAACATAATTAAACTACCATGTGACATACTAAAGAAGTTGAAATTACTGACAACTACGTGCAAATGACTTTGATTACCATGACAACACCAAGTGCCAAATGCAAATGACTTTGATTACCATGACAACACCAAGTGCCAAATGCAAATGACTTT